TAGGATTTCTAAGCCTTCTGTGAGTAGAAAAATTCTCATCAAAGAGACGGTCTCTTCTGTACATCTGCCTGTGACAGCAGTGAGTGTCTAAGGGGTAGTGAATGCTTTGGGGTGTGGTCCTATAATGCCAGGTTGCGACACAAATCTCATCCCTGTGTGCCACTATCCTCTCTGGTTGCCATACACTTGTAGGGGTAGCAGCTGCCTAAGAATGGCAACAGAAAATGAGGGAGGTATTTAGGGTGGAATCCCATGCCCCATTCACTCACATTTCATGAGTCCACACGACATCTTCCATTTATACCCCTTCTTTGTTTTCTCAGTGTTTCCTTCATCTTTTTTTCTAATACCAGAAAGTTTTATCTTCTTGAAAAGGGTTGTGCAAGCCTCACATACATGGATGCCCTTAGCACTATTCTTATCCTCTTTTTAAAAAAATGATATGTGGTTTTGATGCGGGCAGTGACATATTGAGCAAGCCAGTTTGTCATTCATGATAACCTTTGTGGTGGGCACCATTTTATAAATCAGACAGTATTTTTCATCAATATTTAAAATAGCACTAAAATGCTTTTCTGGATATATAATATTAAAATAGTAGCAAAATACTGCTTAAATTAAAAAAAAATGTTTTAGTACTCTAACAATAAATTACTAAAGGAAAAGAAGACAGAAACCTCTCCACTCATCACCACAAGCAGTTTCCCCCTGATTCAACACTTTCAATACAAAGGAAACATTAAATACTTGGTTGTTTGACATTTTGTTAGTAATAATGGACAATCACACTCAAATGAGTAAGTGCTTAGTACTAAATAAATGACTCTTTGTTTAAAACAACAACAACTGGATTTCCCCCCTCTCAAATAACTGCACAGGTTATTTGGACCTTCTTCCTCATCCAGAGCATCTATGTCACGCAGCAGAACAAACAAAAGAAAAGCGAAATATCCCCAATAGTGTGGAAAGACAATTACAATTCTGGTTGTGGTTTGCATTAGCACTCAAGGACACCAACGCGGAAGCAGCCAGAGATTCTAAATACTGATTTTTCCAGAGACACACCCTGTATTCAGTGCAGATGGTCACCTCTAAGTCCAGTGAGAAACATGTAGCCATGCAAGAGCTCAGAATGAAGTATGCATTGCTTTCACTCCAGCCAATAGATGATCTACGCTTGTAGAAATCTCACATGGAACAGCCTTGCTGAGGCTATACCACTCTAGAGTCGCTGATGGAGGATCACACGGGCGAATACTTCCCCAGATCAAGCAAATACACACAACCCCTCAGGCATTTGACACATTTCTCTACCCTCTAACTCTGTTTAGTGGGGCCAAGTGAGGAAGTGCAACTCATGGTTTTGTTGTGACACATTATTTCTGAAGAACCATATTGCATTTCTTCCTGACAGACATTCACTGATTCCTCTCACTAGCTATAATACAATTCCTCTCACTAGCTATAACACAATCACAACTGGCTACCTGTTTTGAGAACTAAATCGAGTGCAGCTGCTGGTATTTCCTTGAGGTTTCGGGGAGGGGGAGAATACCTCTTCCTGAGTGTGGAACTAACTGCAGTTGCCCCACAAGGCTGAAAGAGGCAGGCATGTTGACAGAGGGAAACAGCTGCGAATGAACGAGCCTGAACTAATCACACTAGCAAGGGTGCAGTGGACACCACAAGTGCTGAAAAGCCAAATGAGTTTCTGCAGAAAATTAAACACTTTAAACCAAGAGGACACAGCCAATCTGGGACAAATTATTGAAGGCATTCCATGAACAAGCAAGGTGGGTTACTGACTTGCAGCATCCCAGGCAGGTGTGCTCTGTGTCGCTATTCTACTCTAGGGAGTGCTCTTTTTAAAAAAGGGATTAAAGCACAACAGGAAACCCATTTAAATCCCCTGCCCTTAGAAACAAGCATCTATTTACAAAGGAAAATTCTGCCTCCCTGCCATTCTTTCATCCTTTCCCCAGCAATTCCCCTCCTTCAGATAACACAATCCAGAATTTGGGCAGTTTCTTTCTTTTTCTTTCTTTTTCAAGCTAAATCTTCCATGCTTGACCTAAAAAGTCTGGGCTTTGTACCAAGTGGGTCAGAATCTCCTTCTGCCAACCACATTCTAATTTGAATGGATCACAGCAATTTTTTAGAAAACCAAAAATAGAGGGAGAGGAAAAAACCCCTGCATTAAAAATAAAAAGGCCCACTGAAATTTATTTAGCTGATGTATTATGAAAATACCTTCCTGGCTTCCAAGGTGTGCTAGAAAGGTATGCAATGTTCCATCCCCTAATAATGCATGCTGGGAAGGTAGACACCAAAGCTGTCCCCCTGAGGCACGTGGCATCTGATCCTCTCTTCCATTTTCTCTCCTAACTAGAAGGGGGAAGATTACTGGATGGAGTGCGCACTCGGTTGGTTGTTGTATGCAGCACTTCCCGGCATTTGGTAGTGGTGGTGGGACATCAGAGTGAAACAGGCAGATGCACACAAGAGGCAATGAGAAAGAAATGAGAGAGTGAGAAAGAGAGAATTGTGATGAACAACCGTAGGAGAGTGGAGTAATAGGGCTGCCATGGTGCAACTCCGAGGCAGCTTTAGCCAGAGGCATTCAGGTACAGCTGACTCTTGAGGATGTAATCAATGACTGGCTGACACAAGTAATCCACCACATGACCATCACCATGCTGAAGAGCCAGTCTGTGGGAGAAACAGAAGCAGAGGGAGGCGTCAGTTCAAGAAGATGGACAGCTGCACAGGCTAACCTGCCTATTTGGTTGGATGGAGCATAGTTCCTGAGGCTGGGGCTTGCAGACTTTGCCGGTGGGACCACTAGTTTGGGGAATGGGACTGGAGGAGTGGTAGGTAGGAGAGAAAGCAGACCTGTCCCCTTATCTCAGCCCCCTGCTTATGATAATCCAAGATGTCTCTTGAAACTAACCCAGACATATGTCTTCCACTGAACAGAAAAGGAAAGGGGAGTTTTCAAGGCCCATTTTCTTTTCTTTACACAAATAAGAGCTGGTCCTATACAAACAGCAGTTCCAAGGTTAAACTGCATTTGAACACGCAGCCCAACACTATGCAATCTTAAGTCTCAGAACAGTTTACAAAACGGTCTGCTAAGATTTCTTTTGACACTCATGGAAATAAACAAGGAAAAGTCAGAATAATATTCTACTACTAGAGTTCTGACAAATTATTTCATTTGCCCCGTGCCATTGGAAAGGGCTGTAGAATTCTGCAAAAATTATCCATGCTGGATTTCTCAACAGAACTTTCAAATTCTGTAATCTGCTAATTGGTTTGGCTGCATATTCTAGGGCAGTTAAGATTGCAAACTGAAGAGCGTGACTTTTCTCTTCATGGGCTCCACAGCCTCGTCCTACCTGGATAGTGTCACCCCTCTCCAGCTTTGCCTGCTGGAGCAAAACAGAGCTCCTGTGGGTTTGCAGCAAGCGAGAAGAAGGGGTGAGGATAGGATTGCAAGAAGAGCAAAGTGAAGAAGGTTAAAAAATCTCAGGTTAAAGAATCACAATCTCAGGGTCATGTAAGCCTGATCAACTGGTCTGTCATGATTTGCTCCGAATCTGTGTGAAGCTTCATACATCATTGAAGCTAACAAAATATGGGACATGCAGGTCATGTCTTGATCAACATGTCAGCAAGTTCAGAATTTGAGCTAAAACTAAGAGAGAGTTGTCATTATCTGGTGAAATCTTAAAATGAAGCCTCTATATACATGAGGTAAAGTTCAAGAATACAATGTGGGATAGGGAGTATTCAAGTTGTATGGTGAAGTGTGTAAAAGAAATAAGTTAAAGATTGTTACTTTGTTCCATATCTTTACTCTTTTCATCCAGATGCTTACAAATACATTCTATATGCATATAGCATATATCTAAAGCAAATAATGCAAGGGTACCACGAGGTCACTAATGTGAGAGACAACAATCCAGCACAATTAGCTCCAGATCTGTCCATTGCTTTGAAGAACTCCCTGGACATCAGATGGAAAGAATGGTTTTCCATTGGTGTTCCACTGTGAAAGCTTGACTTGGACTGACTGGAAAAAGGGTCCAAAACTCCAACTGTCCATCTGAAGATTACAAGATTGGTCATCCCCTTAAGGAAAGTATAAGAGCTCAGGTGCAGAAAGCCATTGTTGACTGATAATTATGTCCTGTTGTAGTTGAAGTCTTGCGGCACTGTGGTCTAAACCACTGAGCCTCTTGGACTTGCTGATCAGAAGTTGGCGGTTTTGAATTCCCACTACAAGGGTGAGATCCCATTGCTCTGTCCCAGCTCTTGCCAGCCTAGCAGTTCAAAGATACCAGTGCGAGTAAATGATAGGTGCCACTGTGGGAAGGTAACAGCGTTTCCATGCGCTCTGGCTTCCGTCACAGTGTCCAATTGCACCAGAAGCGGTTTAGTCATGGACTTGGAATGCTGTCTGTGGACAAATGCTGGCTCCCTCCGCCTGAAAGCGAGACGAACATTGCAACCCTAGAGTCGCCTTTGACTGGACTTAACCATGGGTTCCTTTACCTTTTTTACCTTCGAAGTCTTGCAGGCATTTGTTTTGATTGTGTGGTAGTTCTTGGATCATTTGTAGTGCCCTTGTAATTAATATAATTGAGTTATATCTTTATCTCATGTGGTCTAGATTCTATTTTCTGATTACCTTAAACTACATAACCCTGGTAAACCTTCACACTGACCTTCTCTCTGTGTGTATAATATGGATTGTCATGTTAGCAACTGACATAGAGCCGAGAAAGAGGAGGAATGGGCTGCTCAGGACATTAATGGTCAACGGGGTACTTTACATCAAACGACTGCAGTCTCTGTTGAGGAATGGAGGAGGTGAGGGAGAGGGAACCAATCCTTTGCCACCATTTTCTGAACTGCTAGTAACATTGTTGGCTCTGCAATCAAACACCTGCAGAAATATTTGTTGGCAGAAACCAAAAGACTCCCAACAGTCTGACCAACATTTTTGCCCTTCCCCCACCCACAGTCCCTTTCTTGACGCACCTGCTCTTAGTTGAACTGACAATGGCCATGGGGTGGTTCACATCATCTTTTCACAACCAGGATATTGTTCTGTGGAGGAACCATAGAAAGAACATTGACAGGAGCCCTTTCCCACAAGATGATCAGGTGATGCTCTGCCCTAAAATGTTCATCTCTGTCCTGAGGTGAGCATGAAGGCAAGACCTTTTCCATTTTGGCATCCCCACAGTAGAAATTATTTTAAATAAAGACAATTTTTAATTAAGAAGCAAATTGCGCTGAGGCAGGAGACAAAAGTTAAACAGTATCCTTAGCAAATTCACTTTAGTTCTCTTGCTGGCTAACTCAGGACAGGCAATTCTCACACTTGATTGTTAATAGTAGAGGTGCTTCCAGGAATTGGCACAGCTGAAGGGAGCTCACACGCTTAATTCAGTAGTATGACTCAAGAGATGTCCCAGATGAGACAGAAAGGCAAGCAGGCTTCAGTCAATGAAGGCAAGTAAAAAATGATACTCCAGGAGAAGTATTATGAACTCCTTGATAAACATTGATTTATCAATGCATTTTTTCAAAAGGACTTACTTTGTACTTCCGGAGTATTGAGGAGTGGTTCATGATCCGGTCTGTGTCAGTTCCATCTCGTGGCACAACAACAATGCCAAAGTCCCCAACTATCACCTCCATCTGTTGTGACGCAAAAGGAACATGCATTACAACTGTGGAGTGAGTGTGGGGTGGGGAATCATGTTATATTCCTGAAAACTTGGATAATCTCTTGGGTTCCTGATTTGCAACTAGAGACAAGCACCATCTCTATTGCATTTTCAGCACTTGTTGAAGACTTTCCCTCTTTCAACAAGCCCTTCTAATTTGTTTATTATTATTATTATTATTATTATTTATTATTATTATTATTATTATTATTTATTATTATTATTATTATTATTATTCCTCCTCCAGTCATATCTGTACTGGATTTGAAATTGCTTTTATATCTGCAACTGTTTTAAATGTGTTTTATTGTATTTTGAAATCACTTTGGGATGCTTCATAGGAAGTGATTCATAAATGAAATTAATTCAGCAAAGCCTCCACCCATCCCTTTGCCAGGGGCGTGTGAAGACGTCAGTGTGAAAATCCTGGCTTTTATATACCAAAGGCAGCACTCAGAAGAGAAAGCACTGGTGTTACACTACTCAACAACAGACAACTGTTACAGCATGCTGAGCATAATGAAATCACAGGCACCCGTGGGTGACAGGCAATATGTCAGTGGGTGCAGTGCTTTTGTTCGGGGGGGGATGCAGGGGTACGCATACCCCTAAACATTTTGTGAATCTAAGTGTGGCCTCATTGAGGGGCAGTATTTCAATATGAGTAGGAAAATGAAAGTACCCCTAAACATTTATTTTTTTTAAGAAAAAATGCACTGAGTGGGCGCAGCCCAAATTCAGGTTCTGCTTTCTCCCAGTCACAGGCTGGAATCAGGAAAGGCGGAAAGAGGAGGAATGGCTTTTGATCAGTGGTTTCCCAACCGGTGTTCCGCGGCACACTAGTGTGCCGTGAGACCTTGCCTGGTGTGCCCCTGGGAGGGAGGGGGAGAGGCGGCGGCATCTCCTGCTGGATGCAAATCCAACATGGCGGGCGCCTCCTCGCTCCTTTGTAGGCGGACCATCGAGAGAGAAAGAAAAGGAGGCGAAAGAGGGAGAAGGCGCCTGTGCGGAAGAGGAGCGAGCAGTGCGCCTGCGCGCCGCGGCGCCCGAGATCGCTTCTCCCCACCGGCCCTTGTTCAAAAGAGGTCCGGGGACAGCGGGAGCGCTTCGCGCTGCCCCGGACCTCTTTGAAGCAAGGGTTGCGGGGAAGAAAGCAATCTCCCCGCAGCCCCTTGCTTCAAAAGAGGTCCGGGGGCAGCGTGGAAGCCGCAGCGCTTCCCCACCTGCCCCCGGACTCTCTTTTGAAGCAAGGGGCTTCGGGGAGATCGCTGTCTCCCGTGCTCCGAAGCGGGGCGGTGGGGCTGGGAACCTCCGACCCAAGCCCGCCGGGCCATCGGAAACGGATGCCCCGATGCCGGGGCGGTGGGGCGGGAACCTCTCCCCCCGCCGCCCGGCATCTGGAACGATGCCCCGATCGCCGGGCGGTGGGCGGGAACCTCTCACCCCGCCGCCCGGCATCGGAACGATGCCCCTGAATCCGGCGGTGGGGGCTCGGACCCTCTCCCCCCGCCGCCGGGCATCGGAAACGATGCCCCGATGCGGTGGCGGTGGGGCGGAACCTCTCTACCCCGCCGCCCGGCGATTCGTAAACGATTGCCCTTGGATGCGGGCGGTGGGCCGGAACCTCTCCCCCGCCGCCGGGCATCGGAACGATGCCCCCGATGCCGGGCGGGTGGGCGGGAACCTCGCACCCCGCCGCCAGGCATCGGAACAAGGTCCTGGACCTCTTCTGAAGGCAGGCGGGGGCAAAAGTCTTTGCTCCCCCGCCTGCCTTCCCCGGACAGCAGAGACTTCTCCGCTGCCCCGGGCGATCTTAAAATGCTGGCGGGCGGGAGCGAAGCATTCGCTGCCGACCCCCAGCATTTTAAAATCTCCTCGGGGCAGCGGAGACTTCGCTCCGCCCGCCAGCATTTAAAATCGCCCCGGGACAGCAGGGGCTTTTAAAATGCTGGCGGTCGGCAGCAAAGCCCTCCTGTCCCCCGGAGCTTGCGGGGCGGGAGGTGGGAAGAAGGGCTTTTCTTCCCACCGCCAGCCTTCAGAAACAGCCTTCTGAAGGCTGGCAGTGGGAAGAAAAGCCCTTGTTCCCCCCCCCCAGCCTTCAGAAGAGGTCGGGGGACAGACTGTCCCCGGACCTGGTCTGAAGGCGGTTTCCCTAGGAACGCATTAATTGATTTTCAATGCATTCCTATGGGAAACCGTGCATCGCAAGACGAAAACTCGCAAGACGAAGAGACTTGCGGAACCGAATTAATTTCGTCTTGCGAGGCACCACTGTACTTTTATATAGTCAATATAGGCACAGAGTTAAATTTTTTAACATTTTTCTAATGGTGGTGTGCCTCAAGATTTTTTTCATGAAACAAGTGTGCCTTTGCCCAAAAAAGGTTGGGAAACACTGGCTTTGATTGGCACACCAAACTGGGAGGGGTGGCTAAACACCCCAGAGGACAGGATCACACTTCAAACGACCTTGACAGATTAGAGAACTGGGCCAAAAACAAACAAGATGAACTTTAACAGGGAGAAATGTAAAGTATTGCACTTGGGCAAAAAAAATGAGAGGCACAAATACAAGATGGGTGACACCTGGCTTGAGAGCAGTACATGTTGAAAAAGGATCTAGGAGTCTTGGTTGACCACAAACTTGACATGAGCCAACAGTGTGACGCGGAGCTAAAAAAAGCCAATTGCAATTCTGGGCCTCATCAATAGGAGTATAGCATCTAGATCAGGGAAGTAATTAGTGCCACTGTATTCTGCTCTGGTCAGACCTCACCTGGAGTACTGTGTCCAGTTCTGGGCACCACAGTTCAAGAAGGACACTGACAAACTGGAACGTGTCCAGAGGAGGGCAACCAAAATGGTCAAAGAGCCTGGAAAACGATGGCCTTTATGAGGAACGGCTAAGGGAGCTGGGCATGTTAGCCTGGAGAAGAGGAGGTTAAGGGGTGATGTGATAAGCCATGTTCAAATATATAAAAGGATGTCACATAGAGGAGGGAGAAAGGTTGTTTTTCTGCTGCTCCAGAGAAGCGGACACGGAGCAATGGATCCAAACTACAAGAAAGAAGATTCCACCTAAACATTAGGAAGAACTTCCTGACAGTAAGAGCTGTTCGACAGTGGAATTTGCTGCCAAGGAGTGTGGTGGTCTCCTTCTTTGGAGGTCTTTAAGCAGAGGCTTGACAACCATATGTCAGGAGTGCTCTGATGGTGTTTCCTGCTTGGCAGGGGGTTGGACTCGATGGCCCTTGTGGTCTCTTCCAACTCTATGATTCTATGATTCTATGATTCTATGATTAATGGTGGTGACCCTGGTCTGTAATCTGTTTCCAAAAAATACAACAGCAAGGCAAGTGAGCAGAATTTCCTTAAGGAAACTGAGTTTTTCTCAAAAAGAGGGACTCTTTCCCCTTATCACTCTAACAGGCTTATCCCTGAGCTTTAATCTTGCTTCCTGTCTTCAGACACTCCTCTAAGAGAAACCAGGCCTGCTTTGCCTCAGGGTTTTTATCCTTGCTCTCTTGTCTTCCAATCCTGGGAAACCTCTGTCCTCCACCTCCGACTTCCTATCCTTCCTAGCATAGCAGGCTGTGAATACATGTGCGAAAGGGAGAGGGAAACCTAAGAAGACAAAAAAGCATCTCTCTGTCTCTCCATCTCGTGGGGCGTTGGCATGCAAAGGGAAGGGGCGAAAATTGGGGGCTCAGTCAGGATTGGAAAGGAAAAGGGGGGTTGCCAATGATGAAAACCCCCATTCCCTCATAAAAAAGAAATGTGCAGGGGACAGCCCCCTCCCCCCTCCCCAGCCCAAAGCTTTCTGCTCCAGCTGCCTGGAGCCTCCCTGCTCAGTGCCCTCAAGCCATTGCAGGCTGTTATCTCACTGGGAATCAAGATGGGAAGGGACTGGACTTAGCCTGGAATGCATCCATCCTCTGGGTCCAACCTCCTCTACTACCCCCGCAACCTTGGGAAGCAGCCTTGCTCTTTGCTTATCAAAAGAAGTGTAATGAAAGGCGAAATAACTTAAAAGGAAGTCGGGATTTCTCTCTCTCTCTCCAGCTTTGAAGTTGGCACACTAACTATGGTCTCCTGTGACTTTTCACAGATCCTCTCTTGTTCTTATTATTTGTCCTTCCAAGCAGCATCTGATTTTAGGTGTCAAAATTGTTTGGGGTGTTGGGGGAGGGGTAGTACCTGTGGTGGGGGACACATCGTGCTCCTTCTGGGGTTGTTTGTTCGCCCTGCACTCAGCTCTCAGCTGTGTGGCTCCTAGAAGCTCTCAGCATGCAACTGGGGACACAGCTGAGGGGAGAGGATGGGTCTCAAACCCATCTCACACCCTCGGTGTGTTAGCAACTTCCCCAGCATGTGAAGACAGGCTGCGGCAGATTAAGCAAGTGGGGGTCCAACAGTCAAGAAGGTGGTTTCTGCAGTGCTGCAGAGGGAAGTGAGGGGCAGGTGGGGTTGACAGGCTTGTGCACCTCCTTCTGGCAACTCCTGTCAGCCAAACTGGTGCCAAACGTCTTCCTCCGCTTTCCTTTGGCCACATCAGCAAGGCCGAGAGAGTGGTCTTGCCATTTGGGCAGCCCAGGACCCCCCCACACACACTGCCCAAGCTTGCACCCCAGGCAGGTCACTTGGGTGCCGCTAATGCCGCAGGTGGACTTCACCTCTGGAGGTGCACAAATGGATGCCAACAGCCTTGCTCTTGCCAGTGAGAGGGGCTTACAGATGTCATGACTGATGCCCCTAACAATCCTCCATGCTCCCTTTTTATTGTGTATTTATGCTCATGATGCTATTTGGGTGGTCACAGGAGACCCCACTTTTGTGCCTGCAAAAGTTTTGGGGCTCTCACACAGCTTGATTATTGCATTATTACTATTATTATTATTATTATTATTATTATTATTATCATCATCATTAAAGAATTTATATACCACCCTATACCCGAGGGTCTCAGGGCGGTTCACAGAATAAAATCAAGATATAAAACCACAAAATACCTAATAAAAATAAAACAACAACCCAATAGCCCCCCCCAAAAAACATTTTAATTAGTGCATAGCTTGTAACGTATTGTTGAAATCCTGTAACTTTAAAATACCACATACAATCTGGTTTATTTTTGTTCTGCCTTTGTTGCAGGGTGGTCCCTTCAGATAGTAATAATGTGGAAGCACTGGGGAAGCATTGCAGAACAAACTAAAACAGAATAAATTCACCATTATTGTGCCAGGAACATGTGGCAGAATACCCTCATGATAAAGCACCAGGCTGGAGGGGCCCTGAATGTGGATCTCAGAGGTATTCAGGGCTCCTTTCAGACTGGCAGGGGTTGAGTCTAACCCTCCCTGTGAAGCACGAGGGATCTGCTATTATTAAGCTTGCAGCAACAGGCTGACTTCAGTTTTTAAATAATCCTTATTTCTTGCAGTGTCATGGAAACATTTCTAGCCATATTAGGGCCTGTAAGGCTCTCTTGGGCCACAGGCTAAATTTAGGGCTAAAATTATGTGAACATCTCTTTTTTAATGCAGCAGTTTGGGATGGAGCCTTTCAAAATCACCCAATGTACACTCTTGTGAGCAACAGCCTTGCTGAGTGCAGAACCACCTAGTCTCACACTGTGAAGGAGGCACGGAAAGATGAAGAGAGAAGAGTCCTCGGAATGGTCCATAAAGCAAAACTGATTATACTCAGACTGCAACCTTCCTGGGACTGGGACATCCACATGCCCCCCCCCATCTCACTCTGTGCCTTGCTTGGAGATAGTTCAGAATGAACAATAAATCTGAGTAAAGATGGCTTCCTGTGCTACGAGGCAGCAGGTGCTGTGTGCTTGCCATTTAATGAGATTCATGACCTTGCCGTGCATCTGCACAACTCCAGTGAGATTTGAAGCGGCACCCTGGTTTGCAAGACAAGCTGTCCAGAGGAGTACCCCCCCTTGCATTTGTACCCCCCCCCCGCATTCAGCCCTCTGCCTTTGTTGGAGCTAGCCGTGGAGATGCCATGCACACAGAGTGAAAGGTAGAAGCAAACATATGGTCTGTGATTTCCCACCGCCTAAGAAATTAAAAGCAAGAATCCTTGATGAGAACATGATGATGAATGAATGGCCAGCGGTATGTGTGAAAATGGAGCGAGTGAATGATCAGGAGTCAGGCAGCGGGGAGAAAACCCCACAATAACAACCGAGCACAGCTTCACCCATGTTCCAGCAGCAACTCACGTCAGCTTCATTCCATAGGCCTGGAATGCAGAAGGATTCCAGCAAGTCACTTCCACACAGCAGCAAGATTCGGAGCTCTGGAGAAAAAGGTACACAGATATTCAGATACACAGACTCAAGGGCCTGGAAAGGGGGAGAGAGGTGCCGAAGAAGGGAGCAAAAAAGAGGCTTGGACACAAAGCTGCGGCTTGGATTCTGTTGTCAGAAGTGGGCTACTGCTTGCAAGTTATCTACTACTCATGCACACATGTAAAAATGTCTTGTATGAACACAGTGTTGCCATATCTGTCTCTTGGACCAATTTTTGAACTACTTCTGGAGTGATGGAGGGAGCAAGTGTTTGGCGAAGCCGGTTGGGCATATTGCCCACTTCAGGCAGGATGTGTTTTGCTTGGACAGAAATTCCTTCCAGGTCCATTTATGGAACAAAAGAAGTATTCCTAGTGAAAGTTCGCCTCAGCTCAAGAGAGAAACATATTTCCTGAAACGTCCCCTACAGCTTCAAATTGATAAAAGATGCAAGAGTTCTTTTGTGTAGCATTCTATGCTGTTAAAAGCGGCAGTATCTATTTTGTATAATTGTATACTAAAACTAAAGGATAACTGTTTACAAAGTGCTTTAAGATCATGAGTTATTGAAACTACCATATCCATTCTCTGAAAATAATGAAGAATCAAAATTAGTCACTACTTAACCAGGGACTCCTGTGGGAATGTCCTATAATGCAAGCCACATCCGATTTCGTTTTATTTTTGCACAAAGTATCTAGTACTTAATAATGAGTTTTCGCTTCTTTGACTAAATCAGCATGATTCTGATTATATCTGTTCCCAGGCCCTGAACTGCACAATCGTGGAAAAACAATCTCTGGAATTTAAAGCAAATGCAACCCTTGCCCTTCCAGGGCTTGATGAGAACGGAAATTTCTCCCTCCACGTTGCCAATTTAGCCACCAGAGCAAAACAATAAGACTTAAGACTCCTGTCACTCTGGGTCTTCCAAATTATATCTCTGTGGGATTTTCTATGGCAACCTGTAGCTATTAGGAATCAATGCCAAATTCTGTGAACAGTTCAAAACTCAAGAGCTATACCCATGAATGTTGTCAGTCATTTTAATGCAATTACCAGCATTCTCCGGTATTTGTTCAAAAAGTAGGGGGTGCACATTTATTTTCAGTCATTCATGAAATTAATCTGGGATTGTCAATGCACATTGTGCAGACCATCCTGTGCATAGCAGGAGTAGGTGGCCAGACCAAGACATTTTGATGCCTGAGGGACAAGATTCCACCCCCAATTCTATAGACAGAATCTGACTGGACCAGCAGCTGAATCCGACTTCAACACTGACAACAGGACAGCCGTCTATCTTAGGCTAGTACTGTTACTGCACCCTGTATCACCATAAACCATCTGAGGCAGCTGCCTCAGCCTTACTAATGGCAGGGTCGGCTTGCAGAATTACACCCAGCGCCACTTGTCTGCTGCGCTTGGTGTTCCTGTGCTGTCTAATCTGATGTGAATTCTCTCACGCATTTGGCTGCTCCAAGGAGGCTCACCTGGTCCCTTGGTGACATATCTTTCAGTGCCAGGCAAAAACATTCTGCTTCTCTCAGGCCTTTAGTTAATTAAACAATCTATGGCCTTTTAAACAGTGGGGGGGCATTGTTTTTGTTTGTTATTATGGTATGTATTTTTGTGTTTTTACATTGTAAACTGCCCTCTGATCTTCAGATGATGGGTGATATAGAAATTTAATAAATAATAATAATAATCTTATCTAATGTATAAGTTCAGCTGTGCGCAGTTAATTTGGTATTAAGAGCTTTTGCACAATTTGACTGAGTTGAAGAACATGCTGTTCAAGGAGGGCCCTTTCTAATTCCCCCCCAATATAATGGGTGGAATTCAACGCTGTGCTAATAGATGTTCTGATGGTGATAGCCTATCAGCTTGCCCCGAGGAACAAGACCCGCCTCCTCTCCCCCGGGCACTTCTCTAGGGGTCTTCCAAGCCCCCTTCTGAGTCCCATTTCACAAGCAGAAGCCCTTGTGCAGGGCTTACACTGGGGGGGTTCATTAGGTGAACCATGCCTGATGCATTTTTTGTATATCATTTCCATTAATATGTGCATTTTTTGTATATTATTTCTACAGATATGGGCATTTTGTACACATTATTTAAATGAAGAACTGCCCTGAAACAATGAGAGAACTGTGGAATTTGAAGGATAAGTGGAAATTAGAAAAGCCCACATTCATGTGGGAACAGAAGAAATTTATCCCCCATTCTTATTCTCAAATCACAAGCAGTTTGAGCCTTGAGTATCTACATCACTTGGTTTGCCTGTGTGAAACCCTGCTGGGGAAGAGAGCAGCCCCCCCCCCAACTTGGAAATGGTACCCATTTTGGCCCATGGATAATGTTTACTTACCAATCTCTTCATATCTCATCACTGTTCCCAAGTTTGCATTTTCATCTAGAGAAACACAAACAAAAGAAAAGAAAAAAATATGTGTCAGGGTGAAGATTTCACAGAAGACCAGCAAGAAGGGAGATTCTGTCCATGAATTCAGAACACTGATTAGAATCACAGACCCACAGAGCTGGAAGGGACCCCAGGGGTCATCTAGTCCAACCTCCTGCAATGCACAAATCTCAACTCAAGCAAGTTTGTTTAGAACAACCTTAATTAAAGCAAGGTTGTTTAGAGTAACTCTTCTGATTTGTTTGAATGTTTCTGAAGCAAATAAAGGGAATTTCATCTCTCTTGAGCAAAATTTCAACCAGTGTGTAGATGTTCAGCCAGATGCTCAAGCACCAGGACAGGTTGTAAGACTTCCAGGAAAGATCTCTAGTCTCAAATCAGGAATGCACTGTGACAGGCACTGCCATGACCACTTGTGGGCTCTTGTGTGCAAACCCGCTCACTGCTATGTTGATGGTGGGGGGGGGGCAGGATGAAGAACTGAGCTGGGTGAAATGAGAACCAGGCAAGAATAATATATTTCTCAATAACAGGTCACAACTGTAAGCAGCTGCATTTCTGGAACATACCCACAAAGGTGAAACGCTCCATCGGTGGACGAACACAGCAAATCCTGCTCAGGCTTTCTCCCACCTTCCCCAAAAACTTTGCTGAAAAAGGCAAGGAGGGAAATCAGAGAGAAAGAGAGAGAGAGCTCAGCAGCTAATACAGGGCGACAGCAGCCTTGTGATTCAAAAGGAAACAATCTTTGCCTCAATTCAACGGCTTTATCACCTTTGGAAACAACCAGTTTTTTTGCACGTTTTCAAACCTTTGAAATCACTGTTTGTCTCTGAGGGTTTTAGCCAAACTTAGTTTTTTTTCATCGCCACATTTCTTTCCTTGCACTGTATCACAGAGTGAAAAATGCTTATTACATTTGAGTAAAAAAGAGCAGAATGAGATTTAAGTCTGAGTAACTGCAGATATGCAATGTTGCTGCTTTGCAACCCAGTCCTCTCCTTGAAAGCAAGTTACACTGATTTAAGCAGAAGTTACTTCTACATAAATTCCACATTGGATTCCAGGCTGATGAACAAACTACATACTTCACATTAAAAATATATAGAACTAAAACCTAGTAGGTGTTTTTCTTTTTTAAATGAAGAATGAAGAACAACCTTCATAAGCTGAGGAATGGCTGCATGTGTATATGTAGCTGAAGAAAAGATCTATATTGAAAATAAAATAAAACAAAATACCTTTAATTGAGAATTGCCCTCTTGGCTTGAATTGTAGAGACAGCAGAAAATGACAGGCTAATGATGTGGTTTCGGCTACAGGATGAGCTGGCTGAGCAAAACAAATATCTAGCTCTTGAGGCAAAATGAGAAGCATAAACAATGGCAATTAACTTATGGATGGGAAATGCCCATTTACAAGAAGGGAATGTCAGACATGGATTGAGATATGGGCAACTGTCCACGCATTGGTCATGTAGGGAGTATGCAGAAGACTGCCTGATCGCAGGGCTCATGCCCAGAGGTGGGGTGATATATACAAAGTGGCTTAAAAGATCATGCATGCTATGAGATAGAATGCTATGACCGGATGTTTTGAATCTTTCTGTGGGTTTATGAAGTTATAATTGTTTGCTTTCTCGTGTATTTGTATGGTTTGTGCTACTTGCATCCCACCTGAGCACGCAATAAATTGTTTTCTCCTCCAAGTGTGCCTCTTCTCTGGGAGCCCAGCCATTGAAAGGACATGTTTTCATGCCCCTTTCTCCACCAGTCCTTTTCCTGAACAAAATTGCTCTCAGAAATTCCTCTCCGAAGTTCCTGGGATCCCAGCTACAAGCCTGCATGGAGGATTGTGCATTTGGAACTCTGCAGGGTGGGAAGCAGCTGGGGAGCAGAAAAATGGCTGGTGGGAAATAGTTAAGCATCCCTCCAGCTTGTTGCTCATTTACTCAAAACCCCAATCTCCCATGCCTCCCGTTTCATTAAAAAAATATGCTGGGACTTTTCTACATACATTTGCAAGCAATGTAGAGTCTTATCCTATGCATGTTTACTCATAGGTAAGTCTTAAATTCAACAGGATTAACTTCTCAGTAAAGTGTGTGTAGCATTGTAGCCTTCGTTTATTTTGTATAGACATCATTTGAATTAATAATCTAATTTTAGACCCTGATTCAAAGCTGAATGCAACTAGTATTGAGCACCTGCAGGTGACCCAGGAGAGCTCGTCCACACTTTGCTTGTCCCGTGGCTAAAGAGCACAGATCCAGGAGCTTTCTAGGCATTAGTCTGAGCAGTTTCCCATTTGCCTTGCTGTCTCCTTTGGAGAACTTGGCTGCCTTCTGTTGGGACCTACCTGCAGTGGGCTTGTTCGAGAGGTTGCTGTTCTGATAGACAGGCTGTGGGGACTCGTTCTGAGGCTGTCCAATCACTGGGGTCAAGGAAGGTGTGTTCACGTTGGAGAGGATGCAACCAGTCACTCGCTAGAAGAAACGGAGAGTGTCAATTGGTATTTATGCATTCATTGCTTATACGTCAGCAATCTTAGGGGTGTCTATGTGACTGTACTCACCAAGTTATTTTCTCTGACCTGCAAAATATGCCAATGCTCTCCTGACAAGTCCCTGCCCACAACCTTCATCTGCCCAACTCCACCCCCCTTGGCCACCCAAAGGAGGGGGTGGAGGAACAGCCTCATGTCTGGCTCAAAAGAATCCGAGTCGTTGAAAACATTTTCTTCAGTTTCAGGGCTCTTGCAAGTTCTTGGGAAAGAAAAATGTTCACAAGACTCTGACCTGACTAATAAAACCAGTGGAGACCTCTAGATCACCACCGACTTCAATAGGTAGTTGTAATCTTGTTGCATGCCTGAAAGCATCTGCTGGGGAGGTGGATAGCGGCAGCAAAGAGTAGCTCATCAATCAAGATATTTGATTGATCTTTGATCTTTGTGGCAAAAGGGTCTTCAGCACTGGGCTGCTTTTTTGTTCTGCACAGTCTTTTTTGGAGCTGCAGGATTTCCAGCCTAAGATCATACCACTGGCAGCAGCAGCAGTGACCCATAATCTCAGGTTGCAAAAGGTCCACATTCAAGACCACTCAACACAGATTAGTTAAGCCTTCACTGCTGGGAGATCTCAAGTATGCAATCTGGCTTGTTAAATTTATGACCCATTGATGGGCCCTGAAGATTCTAGGGAAAAGGGAAAAGGGGGAAGGAAGGAGTATTGATCACTCATGACTGAAGTCAGCACACCTACTCTGTAAAAAAATAATTAATAAATAAATCCTTAAACCAAATGATTTTTTTAAAAAATGCATTCTGAAGTAAGCAGTCTTTCTTTTGGCCGCCAGAGGGCACTCAATTCTTTCTTTCCTTCTTTTTGTAGTTGAAGAAACAGAAGATACAATGCATTGTGCATATAAAATGCTAGGTGAATCTACTGCTTTAGAAATGAATTGCCAACATCAGTGGTGTTGAAAAACCTGTCACACAATGTAAAAACTTCACAGAGAAACAATATGCAAAGATCAGACTGGCACCCGAGCATCATGCAGAGTGAGCATGAATCACTACTGCAGTGTGACCGAATCTCAGGACTAAACCACAGCTCTCCAAACAGAAGACTGATGCAACCATTAGGCAGAGTGAGGAGGTCATCTTAGGCAGCAGATGGGGGGTGTTGGGGGGGGGGAGGTGAGGTGCTGAAAGACAGAGCTATGTGCCCCAGGCACAGCCTCTCCTGTGCCCCCTAAGCTAGACTGTCGCTCACAGGCGTGGGGGGGGGGATGCTTTCTCCTTGCCAGTAATGAAGTAAGATTCAACTGTAAGCCCGCCTGACTTCTGTATGTGGAATTGGGGGAGCAGCGGGCAGTTGGGCGGCAAAATGCCTTAGGTTGGCCCAGTCCACAGAGCATGTCCTTTGACATTAAGGAAGAGGAACCTGATATATTAGACACAGGGCCGGATTTAGGTTTGATGAGGGCCTAAGCTACTGAAGGTAATGGGGCCCTTGATATGTCCAGCTGTCCTTTGTCAACAATAAATTGTCACTGTTTTTTGTGTTGAATATATGCTATATGGTAATTGATGGACCTAATAGGTATCTCAAGCCATTTGCACATAACAAAATATGTATTTTATCAAAGTAATTGTTGAACTGAAATACAATTAAGAAGTAGTATATTAATAGTGAAATACAATTAAGAAGAAGTATATTAATAACATTACTTACATCATAGGAGCCTACACAACACAAAACACTGTTGCTTAATGTAGGTTTTATTTTATTTGTTTTTTATCTTATATTTTGGAAATGTACATCCAGGTTTTTTCCTTTAAATTTTTTGGGGGGTCCCCCAAGAGAGTGGGGCCCTAAGCTATAGCTTGTTTAGCTTATACGTAAATCTGGCACTGATTAGACAAAGCTCTTCCATAAGGATTCATGGATGTTAATCGGCTGCACTCATTGGTTGTGGGAGCCTTTTCATACATTTCCTGGTAAATGTATAGGGCTTGTTCTGTTTGGGACATCCATCTAGCTGCTCTTCTTCTATTAAAGGACAGGATAAGAAGGAAAGGAAGTCCATTTTAAAAAGTCAACAATTTGGGGCAAAATGCTAACTTGAAATTGGCTTTTGGAAATTTCACCTGTGATCTGAATACAACAAAACCTTTTGCTGCTGGACTGCCTTCCCCCAATGCACTGCTCAATCTCTAAGTGCTCAGAGATTACACAGCAAATGCATTTGTTTATATATGGGTGCACAGGCAGCAAGTGCAGCAGATGACCATTTTGAAAATGGCCCAAAGCACCCTTATAAATGATTCCTGGCAGGTGAAGCATTGGATTTGGTGCCTCTCTCCTTCTCTGACGCATTCCCCCAATGCCATTAGGCTTGGTACTCTGGGCTGCCTGCTCCCGTTCCCCCCCTTCCTTGCCAGGACTAGATCGATGAACAGAAGAAAGGTGTTTAGAATTATTTTCTTGAGCATGAATTCTAAGAGCTGAATCAGCACACCGGAGCAGAGTCTTTGTCATTAATGAATGGTTGGAAACATGTGAAATGGCGTTGGGAGGTTGGCATGGGTATTTTAAGGAGGAGTATCATACCACTTTAGTCGTGCAGTTGTAATTTGGTAATGGTGCTGAGAGCTGTTGGGAGACACCTATTTCCCTCACACAGCTACAATTTCCAGAAGAGGGAGAGAGATTTATTGTGCACATGAGCAGGTTCCCAGACTATTGATGTAGTGCCACAATATTCCTTCCCCAGTCCTGCTGCTGCCATGCTACCCAGAGAAGATTTAGCCTTACTTTCTATCCACACCTGAGCTTGTGGTTTATCTCATGCCAGACAAACCATGAGCTCTCTGTAACCAAGGTTTGCTCTTGATTTACTGCTCACTGTGCGAGGTACGGACATAATACAAAGCCAAACCGTGGTGCAGCCCCAGGTAGCACGGCAGCAGCAAACAGGGGGAGGATGCTGAGCGAAGCCAGTCTGGGAACCTGTTCACTGGCTGGTTTGTGCTAAGTCATGGATTGGATTGGCATTACGTCCAAACTGTTAATATGAGCTGGGTTTCCCCCAGTAATGAAGCGTTCCTGCAAAGTGTCCCAATTTGGCTGGAACAAGGTAATTTGGGGAACTGCCTCTCACAACTTTGCTAGTGCATGCCAAATAATAAAATACTAAGCACTGACATTTTGCGAGTGACAGTAAGAGCAGTCTAGCAAAAAATGTGTGTGAAATTTAGCCACCCTTCCTCTTTTTTGTCACTTCATTTTCTGCTCTTTATCATCTGTACAGCTTCCTTACCTCTGGGTTCCCTGTACTTCAGCATGCCCGGGCATTTCTTCCCAGTACTGAGGACTCCTTTGTGTAAACATCTTAATCCCAGCCACACGGCAACTGTTCCTTCACTTACTAAAACTGCTTTCCAAACTGAACGTGTGGAACTCTGCTGGTTCAACCACTCAGGATCAGAGGCTTCACTGCCACCATTGCAATACAATATAGCTGCATTTATGCCAGCTGAATGCTTATAGGGAATACATATAGCAAAGTACTAAGGTTTTGGGGCTTGTTTGTTTGGCCAGTACTGAATATACTACAATTTCACCAGGCATTCCCAAGTACTTTCAAGCCCAAGGGCTACAAACTTTCCTTCTTTCTCTTTAGTTCTTTCTTTTACAAGAAAGCTAAAATTCTCTGGATACTGAACTTTTATTTCTAATGAAACATTCTGTGTTTATGCAGAGTTATGTAACATTGCCTAGGAATCCATTCAACTTGCAGCAGTAGCAGCAGCAATGAAATTAAATTAGATATGTACATCAGACAAAAAACACCTCAATGTACTAATAATTTGTGATTAAAGTAAAAATGGAAAGTGAAGCAACGATACCTAAGTCTATATTTAAAACAAATCCCCTTACCTCTTCAGCTACCTGCCCCGGTTCCCCCAGCCTCCTCTATCTTTCTTAGCAATCAACTCACTTTCATCAGATCCCGGTGATGTTCCAGTACACTGCAGGTGGTCTGCCAAGTATCCTGATAACATTCCCAGGGGTCCACCCTACAGTGAGAAAAGGAAAAGAAAGTCTGCCTTGACAATCAAGAATCATGATAATTGGTTATTTTAATTTAATATACCACAGTGCGAATACATAAACTGCTTGTCCATTTGCAAATATTCATTTATTATAGTTGGACCGAGAGATTCCCCCTGGTCTTCCACCCAGATTACTGATTAGATCCACACTCGGGCAGCTTCGGGAGTCTCTGAAATGCCTGGCCACTTCTGCAAGGCTCCACGGTGGTTAAAATGCTTCTTATTCATCTGATGCACACACAACAGTACTAATTTTAAAAACCTTATCAGGGGAGACAGGGATATATCAATCAGCTGTATTGTTGTCTCTACTCTCCAGTTTATTGCTGATTATTAAATACAGCATAAATCTCAGGGGTCATCTCTACTCCCATCAAGTAATTAATCAGAGGGTGACAGTCCCAGGAGTCTTAGAAGGAATCTATGCCTTTGATTTGGGCTTTACTGCCCTGGCTTTCAAATTCCTTAACTTTCACTTTTGTGAAATATATATATTTCCCAGTTACTTAGACATGCAGCATTCAACCCTTCCAGGTTCAGGGTGATTAGCCTTTAACCCCATCCTTTAAAATACAATTCCCATCTGTCTCAGACAGCACCGCCAATGATCATCTGGGCCAAAATATATGGAGGTCACCAGTTTAGGGAAGGCTGATCTCTCCTGCTATAGGAACCATTTTTCTTTCTCTTTTCACTGAAATAATTATATGAATGTAGTTAAATCATGTTCATTCCCAACTTGCTCAAACGAGGGGTTCATTTTTATATTGTATGAGTTTGTGGGTGCCAGACTTCCCTAAATTCCTGGTTCCAGTAGATGTTAGACTGGATGCCAGACCTGTGTTTATTATGCCAACATGAATTAAGACAGACCCATGTTTATTAAGCTGTGTGCTAAACACTTCTAACCCTTTAATTAAGGCAAGTGTTAACAGCTATTTAAGCCAGGCTAACTTCCTGGTACTGAGACATGGGTAGCACTGTGGTCTAAACCACTGAGCCTCTTGGGCTTGCCGATCAGAAGGTCGGCAGTTCGAATCCCCGCGACGGGGTGAGCTCCCGTTGCTCAGTCCCTGCTCTTGCCAACCTAGCAGTTCGAAAGCACGTCAAAGTGCAAGTAGATAAATAGGTACCGCTCCAGTGGGAAGGTAAACGGCATTTCCATGCGCTGCTCTGGTTCACCAAAAGTGGATTAGTCATGCTGGCCACATGACCCGGAAGCTGTAAGCTGGCTCCCTCGACCAGTAAAGCGAGATGAGCGCCGCAACCCCAGAGCCGTCCAGACTGGACCTAATGGTCAGGGGTCCCTTTACCTTTAACTTCCTGGTGAGGTGATGGGCCATTAAGAAGAACAAAGGATCAAGGGACTCCTCCTGAGATGGCAAATGGATGGGGCAGCTCCCTCCCTCAACGGATAATGCCAGAGATTAGATTGCAGCTCAGAGATGAAGAAGGGCAGATGACTTGGGGCTTGTAACTGCAGTTCTGCCCATCATCATGCCAGGCTCATTCGCCAATGGTGCGAATAAAATGCTTCCTGTGGGTGCACTGCATTCCAGAAAGACAACTCCTAAGTGGATGAGCAAACCTGACAGCAAGCTGGAACGCAGAAGGACTCTGCACAGGACTGTTCTGCTAACAGGCTACTTGGCAAGAGTAATATCTGTCAACCAAAGCCAGCTTCTTACAGAATGAAATAGCAAGGCACAAAGAATACTCTAAAACTGGGTTCAGCAACTGGAAGCCCTTGGACCAAACCAGACCACCAGAGAGATGCTACATGTTCCCACTTCAGGGAGGAGCCAACTGAACTCAGAGGCAAAAGAGAAGAATGGAGAGGGAATGACAGGAGGGTTGGACTCAATGGCCCTTGTGGTCTATTCCGACTCTATGATTCTATGACATCATGTCTTCCTAGCTGGCTATGTTGGGTTGCACCTGTGAAAGGTAACAAAAGGGATGGCACTGGGGTATTTGCCATAGAAGAAAAGGCTAAAGCAGGTGGGGATTTATAGTCTGGGGTGGGGAAACTGCAAAGTGGGGATATGGCAAAAGTTTATGCAACTGAATGAATTAAGAGAGATTATGATTTGGATTTCTCTCTGGTAGGACCCAGGATCACCCAATGAAATTCACTTGCACCAACAATGCAAATGACTTCACGCAATCAAGACTGACTTCAGAATTCATGACCAAAAAAAAGTGCTGATGCCCACTATCTTAGATGGAAACCAAAATGTCAATCTTCTATTTTGCATCCTCTTTTTATATGGCACTACACTCACGTCTTTCCGAAATCTTTCCATAAAGTGCCACACCAAAGGCTAGGCATAGCAGTCATGGGATAAGCGGACAGACAAATCCTCTTATGGTTCAGTAACTGGCTAAAGCAAGGAGGTGAGAATAGGAGAATGGGCAGATCTCCCATTGGAGGGGTATAAGAAGGGGGTTCCCCCAAGGAGAAGCACTGAGACGTGTGCTGCTTAACTTGTTCTTATAAGACCTGGAATGAGGAGCAAACAGCAGGTTGGCCAAGTATGTGGATGTCACTAAATGGTTCAGGGTGGTAAAAGTTCATTGGCACCTGGAGGGTCGCAAGTTAGCCACCCCCTGCCCTCGCCTTTTATTTTATATTTCCCTGTGCCTCTCAAAGTACATTTACTCATCTCCTGTAATTGCTTCTCCCCCTCCTTTCACAGTTATGGTAGCTCGTATCCTATTCTCCTGCAAGTTGCGTATTTCTTTCATTATTCCAACCTGTTCATTTTACATTTTCCTCTTCCTCCAACAACAGCCTTCCTCTCTTATACCCTCCCTTCCCAATACCAAATATGTATTTATTGTAACCCCTGGTTTGAAGCAGGAGAGAAATTGTAATGAGGAGGCAACATTACAGGAGGAGAGCTTAACCCTTTCCTCCTATATCATCTCCTATATCATCTCAATCCTACCCCCAAACCTGCTGTTTGTCCCACAGTGGAAAACATACGGGCACAAGCATCCCATCTAGCTTGACCCTAAAAGGCAGTTGCAGCAGCCCCCTAAAGTGGCAAAACGCCAGTTCCAGCCCCACTCTACCTGAAACCCAGGATGTTTCCTCACTGACATATCTCAGGGCCTGGGCTGTTTCAGGATGTGGGAGCACATTGCAAAAGAATGCCAAAATTCCTAAGCTCCTCTACATCCAACTCAGATTGGAAAGGAAGGAAGGAAGGAAGGAAGGAAGGAAGGAAGGAAGGAAGGATCAAAATCTCATAGGCTGAGCCAACAGCATAAAGGTCCTAATTGAAAACTTAATGAGCTACTAAACTGGGCTGTTTCTCAAACATTTTCTTAGCAGCTTAACTTCTTTTCTTATACTCTCCACCTGAGGTTTTCAGAGTTGTGAACTTGCTAATTCTCACTCTCACTAACAATACTGTAAGGATTCATTCATGCAGAGTAGGCTATCTCAAGGTAACAGAAGGGCTGGAAAAGAGGTTAGCCCAGGTGAACTCACCCCAGGTGAGGTACTGGGGCACTTTCATTACTGCATAATAAAGCAACTGGGTTAGGTTTGCAGAAATTGCAACTAAACAAGCCAAACTCTGCTGCTGACCAGTCACAGATCACAGACTGCCAAGGACTCAATAGATGTCCTGGCTTTGCTACCTACCAACAACGGCAACACAGGAGATGGGGATGCAAAGCACCGAGCAGGTCGTGGAGGTGAGGAGCACTGGGTGAGCCACAAGGTGGGAAATGCAGCACTAGATTTTCTTAACAATGTAAAATTAAAGAACAGTGAAATACAGTGGTACCTCAGGTTCCATACGCTTCAGGTTACAGACACTGCTAACCCAGAAATAGTACCTCGGGTTAAGAACTTTGCTTCAGGATGAGGACAGAAATCGTGCTCCGGCGGTGCGGCAGCAGGGGGAGGCCCCATTAGCTAAAGTGGTGCTTCAGGTTTAAGAACAGTTTCAGGTTAAGAACGGACCTCCGGAACAAATTAAGTTCTTAACCCAAGGTACCACTGTATAAAGAAAGCACTTAATTATCTGTAAATGCTCCTGAAGGAACTGGACTACCCCAGGGAAAGTTGGTCCTTACTGGCTTAGATAGTGCAGGGATGAAAAACCTGCCTGGAAGTTGCAAGACTGCGAATCTTGTCCTCCCTCAGCACTGGCCACGCTTGCCAGAGGTCCTGGGAGTTTGAATCCAGCAGCATTTGCAAGGCCATAGCTTGCCCACCACGGAGCTAGTGGCTCAACATTTAGTGGGCTTAATCTGAATTGACCTTTACTAGATGGGCTGCTCCAGTTCCTGGAGAGCTTAGAGGTGAGTGGTTCCCAAAAGCATTTCACCACAAACCTCTTGAGAATCTTTGGGGGTCTCGATGGACCACTTAATGGTTTTTCTGCCTGCTGCGCAATTGTAGTGTGCTGTGCCAGATGTTGTATGATTCTTAATTGTATTCCCCCCCCCTCTTTTTATATATTGTATTTTATTGCATCACAATTTGAATTATATAGAATTTAGAATAAAATAAAATATATAAAAGCACTAAAAATGCAATTAAAATATCAACATAAAAATTAAATACAGTGGGTGTGCTATCTCCCTTCAACCACAAATCTACAGACATGCTGCAGACCACCTGCATTAAACTCAGGTTCCACTGTACTGGCAAAAAATTGGAAAGGAGGTACCATCCCACAAAAGAAGATTGGTTAAATAAATTATGTGATTATATAGAACTGGCAAAGTTAACAGCTGCCATAAGACACCAGACAAATCAGAAACTAGGGAGTGAATGGCAATGTTTTGAAGACTATATGAAAAAAGACTGGTCAAAAGATAACATGCTAATATGCATAGATTAAGTATGTAAAGCTGAAATATATTAGGAACTTCAGGGCTAAGATATGAAAGATGCAATATTAAAAAGACTGTAAAAAATAAAGAATGTTGAGCTCTGGGGGAGGGAAGCCACAGGGGGAATTTGTATACATGTTTTTGTTTCTTCTCCTGTTATTATTTTATCTTTTATGTTAATTTTTACTTTTTGTGTGTATGTTTTTAAGCAAGAAAATAAAAAATGAGTGGCAATTTTGTTTTCCACACAAGCTAATAAGTGTTTGCCAACAGCTACAGATGCTTTGTCTCCCTTGCTGGCCTTGATGTAGGAACATGGATCTGAATGTATATCTTCATATTCTATTTGATCCTTATAGATCTGTGATCTCTTGCTCTGGCCATCCCAAGTCTAACCTAAAGCCAAAAGTTTTTGATTTGCCTGCCAGAAAATGCTTGCAGAATGATGAATTGAGATCATCTGTTACACAAAGATTTACTCTCTGGGTAAATCTACTATTAATGAGAAAACTGCCTGCTAAAGAGTTACTGTAGTTCTAGCTGTTCCTTAAGGTGTTATTTTACTGAAAACCTTTATATCCCTTTTCCTAAAGAGCTCAAAGCAGCTGAGAAAGGAATATACAAATACAACAGTAATACAAAAGAATGACAAATGATAAAACAGGAGAAGACCAGCAGATGAAACAATTAAGAACATTGGTGAAAAGCAAACAAGCAGGCCTCAATGTAGGCAGGAAGAACAGAAGGATTCCTAAAAAGAAAGGTCTTTGCACTGCAGCAGAAGACCTGCCAAGGAAGAAGTGAGGCAGACCTCTGTAGGCTGCAAGTTCCAGAACTTGGGTGCTGCCACCACTGGGAAAATGACCTCTCTGTTGCCCCTACTGAGCAGTGGCGTAGCATGGGTTGTCAGCACCCGGGGCAAGGCAAGTAATTTGCACCCCCTAACCCAGTAGGGGCAGAGAGCTGCGAGTGCGAGCGCGCCGCCCCAGATGTTGCGCCCGGTGCGGCCAGCCCCCCTGCACCCCCCACGCTACGCCACTGCTACTGAGGCATGAATTTAAAGGGCGGGCAGAAGGGCTTCTGTTAATTATCATAATAGGCAGGATTACGTTGCCACTTTCCTTAGCTCATGTACAAATCAAACATATATTTGAGAAAAGGTAACATGAAACCTGAAGGTTCTTCTAAGACAAATATTTCAGGTAGTTAAGGAATTCAGCACTCTTTCATTACATCCTCAAGTTAGGGCTCATCGACCCTTACCTTTTGCCCTGGCGCTATCCCCATGAAAACCTGCTCTGGAACAAACAGAAATTCAGGTTTGAAGTATGGTCCTGTGCCTAGAAACACAGCACTAAAGGAAGTCTGGATGAGCCCTTAATACAGTGGTGCCTCGCAAGACGAAATTAATTCGTTCTGCGAGTTTTTTCGTCTTGCGAATTTTTCGTCTTGCGAAGCACCACTGTATTAAGTCTGCAGTAATTTTAAGAAGTGGCCCCAACATTCTCCAGCAGGCTACCACACCGCGTGCTATGAGTTGCTCCTCGAAGTCAAGTCGCAACTGCACCTCTTCAAGCAATGCACCCTGGGTATTAACGGTTTTAAGAAAAAGGAAACAAACTTGCAAGACGTTTTCGTCTTGTGACGCAAGCCCATAGGGAAATTTGTCTTGCGAAGCAACTCAAAAAACCAAAAACCCTTTCGTCTTGCGAGTTTTTCGTCTTGTGAGGCATTCGTCTTGCGAGGTACCACTGTATGTCAAGCAAGAGAGCAAGCCTATGCATGGTTTTTCAGAAGTAAGCCCCACTATGTTCAGTGAGGATTTCTCCCTAATAACTGTGTTCAGGGCAGTTGCCTCTCACTCCTGGTTGAAGAATATGTAAAAAAAACATTTCCTGTACTCTGAAAGGATGGGTCCAATTAGCTTCACAGTTACTTCTGAACACCAATGAGGCTTGCACAGTATATTGCTGAAAAACGTCTTTCCTGCATGTTTGTGTGTATAATTTTAAATTGTGGTGTAAAAGCTGATTCACATGCTCTAATGATAAGCTCAGGCCAGAAACTTGGTGATGGTGACATGGGCACTGCCTCTTGTACAGAATACTTCTCTGAATGAAGTTGACCCCTCATCGTTTGTTGCATCTGAAGTCGCTGCTTGCATGCCTGTCTGCATGTTTCTGCTTCCATTAGGAGGAAATGTAGTGCCAAGTCAGAAAGACCTGGATGTTAGATCGTGGAGGGAGCATGTTCATGTGCTCCAACCACTCAGACATTGCAGATAGCATGCTTTATGCGGTACCCTATCATACCTTATCCAGTCAGAGGACTGAACAGCCAGCTGGCACATTGTCAGGCGATGTCGGCTGGAGACCAGACCCTGTAAAGAACATAAGGTTGTCAGCAGAAGAAATGGAGGGAGATTCCACAGCACTGGACTTTTCGAAAGTTAAATATGTCTTGACTTAAGTGGTTCACTAGACTTGGGCCTGGAAGCCATTGCAGCATTAATGGGTAAGAGCTGGACTGGGGAAACCTGGATGAGCCATTAAGTTCCCATTAGTCATTAAGTTCACTGATCAGTCTTAATTGGTCACCAATTCATAGGCAGACCTACTTCACAGAGTTGTTCCACACAAACAGCTCCTAGATCTTCTGTAGGGTATTACTTTGGTGGTATCTGTCTGCCTTGAGAGACAATGGAGTGCACCTCCAAGGGTGAAGTCAAACTGCTGGAAAATCACAGTGCCTGCTGTGGCCGTAGAGACTGGCAACTCAAAGCTGCTGCCTCCTGCGTTTTTGCCTCCTCACCAGGGCACAAGCTTGGGCTTTGTGTATGGAGGTCCTGGGCTGCCCAGCCAACAAGACCCATCCCCCACTCAGGCTCGCTGATGTGGTCCCAAGGAAACCAGAGCAATGCAGAGCAGAGCTTGGCTGCAGGAATTGCTTGAAGGAGGTGTAGAGGACACCATCCAGCCATCTTAGAGACTCCACTCTGGATTTGCATAGGGGCTACTCCTTAGCCTTTTCTTCTCCCAAAGATGTCCCTCAAGGCAGCAGGTACAGATTTTTCCTCAGGGTTTACTCTGAAAGACTTTCTCATGAATGAGTATAGGCACAGAGGTTTAGGATCAGAGTTTTCCTTCTCCTAGATGGGCTACTTTCCCAGGTTGACGAGCCTCATCTGTAGCTACATTTAAATTTAGCAATGAACTATATTTCAAAAATATGAAGTTGCCTTACACTGAGTCACTACTTATACATTTTTCTATGGTATAGGTACCTCCACCCTCTCAGCTTGGGCTACTGCAGGGTGTTTGTATGAATCCTGCATACTAATATGGTAGTATGCCAAATTCTGCTTTAAAGGATGGCCATAAAACAAACAAAAATGCACATGAGCAATTGATAACAGGATTATCTGGTCCATAAAGCTGCCGCCTAAACTCCCTCTCACTCTAGAGGGTTCTAGAATCAGCTGTGATCGGCTCTTCCCCACTCTGTTCATAGCCTTATCACAACATCACTTCTGCGCAAGGACAGCCCTATTTTACCTCACAGGGAATCTGTACCTTGAACAGTCTCATGACAGGCTGATGTTCAGCAGGTACAGCATTTCACTGCTGCATCTTCATGACAAAAAGTGTTGCACCTGTTGAGAATTTCTGCCTGTTTTACCACCATTGTAAAAGGAAAAAAGTGGCACCTATTCAGCTAGAAACCTTAGGAACTGCTTCTGGGTGCCACCCACATTCATCATGAATGGATATTATATTGGCAGCATTAAAAACATTGGAAAGAATAAAAGGGCCGACCCACCTGCTTCCCGTAGGAGTCATGTACAGGTGAGACAATTCCACCAATGACAATGAACCTTCCTGTCTTGTGCAGATAATCCCGGGCTCTTTCTAGTAGAAAGGAAAGGGCGGCAGGGAAGAGAGAAACAAAAGAGTATTTACATTCTTTTCACCAGATATGAAAAAGCAGGCCAAACCAGTCCAAATATGCGTGCACAGAGGACTGCAACGCTTTTCAAAAACAATGGATCTCTACATCTGTACAAAAGCCATCAATGAATTCCGCCTTGTTCCCTAGGACCCACCTGGACGCAGCCTTAAGGAATCTCTCTGCCCAGCTTTATCTCTGTAAGACAAATTATTTAAATCGAGGAAACTCTTTATTTACTGTGTTTGCAGTTGTTTAAGATAAAACCTATTTTGGAAAAAAAACTACTTTTGCCATTTTTATGGACATTTACTGCTTGTTTACAGATAGTTGCCATAGTGATATTATCTTGTATCGACTGCAGTAGTCATTGTATCACCACCCTGTTCATTGTTTTATTCTTAATTTCCCCAATTAAGCAAGGCAATATTGGTAGCTCTAAAGTCATTGTGCCCATTGCAATGGCAGCCATGTTGAATTTTTAAACTTACAACTCCTCATTTTTGGAATTTGAAACATGACTTTGGAATTCAAAAAATATTGTGATTAAATTAATAAAATTTAGTTTTGCTTGGTAAGTAAAAGGTGTGTAAAATTGCATAGAAATATTTTAAAAAGATTGCCAAGTACTTGCAATTGTTGTTGCTATTATTAATTATTATTATTTCACATTACCTAACATTTTCAAAGGGTAAAAATAAAATTATTTGGTTTACCAAAAGCAGTTTATGTGCTTCTTCCTCAAACACAGACTTGCCAAGTTAAGTGTCCAATCACAAAATTAATAGCATATTTAAGTTTATGGAGTGGCCCTTTTTCCCATCTCTCTCTCTGTTGCAGTATGACTAACAATCCTGAATCATCCCTAAGTACCCTGTGATTATATCTAGCCGTACGCCTTCAGGGAGTACAGCATTTCTACCAACTTTGCAAGCAAGCAAGCAAGCAAACAAATTATTATTATTAATTATTATTATTATTATTATTATTATTATTATATAATAATAATTTATTTATACCCCAAAGCCACTCTGGGCAGCTTCCAACAAAAGATTAAAAATACATTAAAACATCAGTTTTAATTTAAATGTATGTTATATATAAATTAAATAGCAACTGAGTGACATATTGTCCAGTTGGCAAAATCATGCCAGACATTACTTTGCATTTGTCTGTTGACTCAATTATCACATTAAAGGAACGTCTGCACACTTTAAAACAAAACAAAACCACAAAGCCTTATCCTACTGACACAGTTTGCTTAGTAGCAAATATAGGCCAGGCATCACAACTATGATGGGACAAACCTGCATAATACACTTTGGTTTGCAAATATTCAAGAAGCAGCAATATACTGTATGATGGTGATTTTCAAGCCAAAAGGACAAGAACAACTGAAGCTGCAGGGGAAAGCCAGGGAGTCAAAAGGATTCTTTAGTTGATTAACTGGTTAGTTGATTAATTGGTTAATCAATGTTATTCATCTTTTTCATAAAAGTTATATACCGCTTGATAGTAAAAAATGAATAAACCTCAAAGCAGTTTAATTAAAAATTCTTCAACAACAAAAGACTGCCCTTGATTAAATTGGGCGGATCTTTTTTTAATAAAAATGTTTTATTTGATCAGGTGATGGCCCTAATCTAAACAAACAAACAAACAAACAAACAAACAAACCAGTAGCTAAGAGATTGACTGGGAAATCACCAGTCCAAATCTTCCTTCACCTTCACCTTCCTAGGTAACCTTACACCAACTGCTCCCTCTTAGCCACAGCCTTGCAATCTACAGATGATAGTGCAGACCTACCTTGGAGGGTTATTGCAAGGATGACTGAGATAGTGTATGCAAAGTGCTTTGAAGAGCAAAGCACTAGATACGCAGTCAGTATTTTTAGCATCTGCACGCAAGCTATTTCAAAAGCAAGACTACAGTATCTGGATAATGGCTGAGGCCTTGAAACTACAGCAAAAAAACAAATCAACAAACCCAAACATGGTACATTTCTGATGAGAGACTCTGTGACAGAGAGAACTTGGAATTCAGTCAAACAAAAATGCTGCCTAGTACATAACAAAAGGGTTGTATGTTAAATCTTCTAAAGCTTTTGAATACAGAAAGCTCAGGCCGTCACTCTGCCTTAATTTTATCCCGGCTGTCCTTGCCAAAACTCCAGTACAGGCACTGCAAGCCAGTCAGACTGTCAGCCTTAGATCTCAGTGTTGTAGCTTTGTGCGTTCCCTTGTCAAAACCTTCACACAAAGTTGGATCTCTGCTCTTAATTCTGGCTGTCATTGGCCTCCCAGTTAATATATATATCCACAAATAGAAAGAGATAGAGAGAAACCACCCTCTGCACTCTGGGGGTTAGCAAAAAACACCTGCAATTGTCCCCCAGCTGTTCTTAACTTCACATCCTAAACAACCTGGGATTAGAGATTCTGAAAAAAGGACTGCTTTCTTTTACCCTGTCACAATAACTATCAGCCAAATCTCACAACTCGTGGCTAAAGAAGGGCTAAAGCAAGGCGGACCTTTCCATTAGGCAGAGTGAGGCAACTGGCTCAGACAGCAGATTCTTGGGGGTGGGCCAGGACGGGAATCAGTGGCAAAGCCTTGGGCAAAACCTGTGTGTTCTCCATTCAGCTGCAGGGGCAGAGGCCATCTCATCACAGCTGGCAAAGTAAGACTCAACTGTCAGTCCAGTCGGCTTCTATATCGGGAATGGGGGCTGCTTGTCCGCTCATCCCACACCTCAGGCAGCAAACCTTCTCAGGCTGGCCCTGATTCTTGGTGATTAAACGCTTGCAAATGGGTGGCAGGGAAAGATGGTTAACTAGGCCTTACAGTCTCTGGGTGGGGTTCACCCATACCCTTCAAGTGTCCCGATTTTCCTGGGGTGGTTCTGGAATTACAGAAGGCACCACGGCTTCTGGTTTGACCCCCCCCCTCCAGCAGCAGCACCACCACCACCGGGCTCGGGGGGGGGGGCGAGGAGGAGGCGCTGGCCCTTGCAGCCAGCCCTGGGCTTGCTGTGGCTCCTGAGTGTGAAGCTGGCTGGGCTGCCATGGCCGCCATGGCAGTGCCCCTGCTGCTGCCAGAAGGGAGGGAGGCCAAGGAGGAGGCTCTGGGCTTCCCCTGCCCCACACGCCCCCCATCTGCTCACTCCCACCAGCCTCCCCTTGACCCCAAGCAATGGAAAGAGGAGGCGGGGTGGGGCAGGGAAAAATTCGCCCTCCTCCTCCCTCAGTAAGAGAGCAGCTAGGGAGAAACTACAATTCCCAGGCGCAGCGGTGCCTCAAGTAGCTACTAGCCCCCCGGCACCTCGCCATGCGGTGGCTACCAGGAGCAAGAGTCCTGGGGGGGCGTTTGCTTCCCTCTCTCCCTCGCCTCTGACCTCCAGGGAAGGAATGTCACGGCTTCCATTGGTGCTTCACCCACCAGCCTGCTGGCTCACACAACAGTGTCTGACTACAACTCATAAGAAAGGCTAGTTTTAGAGAGTGGCAAGGTCAAGTGCCTTTTTGGAGGTGCCAAGAATGAGTGGCCAAGGGTCCCACCCCAACAGCACTGACATTCTTAATTTGCAGAGACAGCAGCCAAGAAGTTCGGAGGCAGCATCAAATAATTATCTGTTTGCAGGCCCTACTAAGCTCATTGAGCTCACGGGTTGTGGAACTATCTATAATCATAAAGGGAGAAACTATACACATTACAAGGAAGGCAGGTAATTCCAATATAATATTGGGTCTGGGGTGGGAGGTAACGATTACATTACCTTATTTGCACTTCTGAAAACAACATGCAGACTGAAAGGCAGATATTTTTCCAAAGTTCCTACTTCTCTAAATTTTCACAATACAGAGCTATGTGTGCACAAAAATACACAAATATGTATATGAACATTTATATCAAGATGTGCATACAAGTTGTAAGTTGTTTCAAACTGTTTGTAACATCTTAATGTTGTAACCCATCTTGGGACTTTAGGGTGAAAAATAAACAATGCATATATTGGTATTTTTTTTAATCCATTAAATTAGGGGGATCTACTTTCAAGGATGTGTCTATTAAGCAAAATTGCATACAAAAATGGGTCTATCCAGTTAAATTTACAATGAAATCCTAACAAAAAAATTATGAGGACTTTTATTTTATTTTTTAGTTGGACTGAAGAGAAAACAAGAATTTGTAGGGGAGAGAAAGGGCTGGTAGGAAGGATTAAGCACTCTATCTCCCTACTCCCAATTCCCCCCAACCTAAGCCCACTCTGCCACCACATCTTTGTAACCTTAGCCAGTGCTCTTTTACTAGAAAAAGAGGTGCCAGAACTCACCATGAGCACCTCCCTCTTTCTCTTAGAATGGCAATGGCACCCACCTGAGTTCTGGTGAGTTCCCCCTGAAAAAAGCCCTGACCTTAGCAAACATGGGTTTAGGAACACAATGTTGGCAGAGGAAGATGTCATCCCAGCTTGTTCTTTCCATGCACATGGAACCCACAGGACACTCAGTCTGGGAGCAGAGCACTTGGACACACCTGCCATCATCACAGCTCCCATCCATCTATTTCATTTTTTTCTGCTAGATCAGCAAGGGCAGGTAGGTGCAGTTTCCCCATCTTGGTCCTCACCCCTTGACAGCCTTCCTTCTAAGTTTTGTGTGCCCTAGAAAAAGGATGCTGTGGGTTATATCTATCCCCTGCTTTGGGCTGTTAGAAAGTGACCCAGATCACAGGGCCGGGGAGGAATGTGGGCAGAGTAGAAAACAGACAAGTCTTGTCACTGGTGCAAAGGTGGCACAGTTCATTTGGAAGTCAGAGGATTCGTTGTAACATTAGCAGTACGAAATAACAGGCAGGAGTTATGTTTTCCTTTTCACAGACGGAAGCTTCTCTGGCCGCTGAGAAATGTCAAGTCTGCAGCTGATGACATCAGGATAGGATTTAATGGGCAGAAACTCAC